TTGTTTCTCCCAAATTCGTCCCAAAGCAGCAAAAGAAGGTTCAGGTCCGGATAAAAACATGCTTGCACCCTCTGCTATTTTATCCCGTAAAGATGGTCCTTTATGCATTATTCTACGAACGGTACTCAAAGAAGCTCCGCCCTTTTGTGTTCGCTTTCTTCTTCGTCTTCTTCTTCGTCTACCAGGCATTCTTATTATCCAATGAAAATAATTTACCTATTACCCCCTTTTTTATACACTTTTTCACTCAAACTAGTGCTCAGGCGCCTTCGCGGTTTTAAAGATGGCGGATAGAATGGAATGTGGAAATCTGGCAATCTGATTGGGTAATCCGAGTCACGTGTGCTAGATACTTCATTCTGATTGGCTCTCCGCTATACTGGCCCGTTATACCACTGAGGATACTGGCATTTACGAACCCGAAGGTCTGAATCTCACAGCAAGTTGTGCACGATATTTGAGGCATATCGTGAAATCGTGGCCTTCGTAATAAGCCAATACACGCTAGAATAAGCTTCTTCTCGGACGAAACGCATCTTTGGGATACATTGACGTCTCTCAAATGTTTTTTTTTTATGTTGTACACCCACGAATTTAGAGGTATCAGCTGTTGCCGTCCCTGGCCAGCGCGAGAAAAACAACATTTGGTTCTGCAGTTAGTTGCAAATGAACAAGACAGCTGTGCCATCTTGAATCTATCAATTCGAGTGGTAGGTTGAATTGAGGGCTTTTTAGACACTCGATTTCTTATATGGCATCACTATGAAGACGTAATACAACTGATATACATACACTACAAAGGATTAACAATGTCTGTTACGCTGTTGCGGGAGGAAGGAAAATATTACCGGAAGTGTCAACTCTTTAAGAGTTTCAGAGATCTTATCTTCGGCTGTCACAAAAAATTGACCCCCTCTTAAATTTGTATAGGTAATCACATGATTTCGAGTGCAATTTGGACATCGCCCTACAGTAGAATAATTTTCCAATTAACAGTGTGTGGCGAGCGCGAGGAAATGCGCATTTTTTTCATTATTGTGATCAAAGCCCAATGATGTACCTAAATTGGTACTTACGGTATCAAACCATTGATTATGACAGGGTGAGCTTAATTTTTCTGTCGAGGTCGACGTGACTTAACATTAAAAGCGTTTTTGACGGAACAAACTAGTGAGCATCACTGCTCGAACTGAGAAAGTAAAAACTTGTATTTATCTCCCACGCGTTTTGTCTGACAATAGTAGACTTCATCAAGGAGTTTAACAAGCAGGGTAAATAAGCTTGCTCATATACAAATGGTAAATAAGTTGTCTCTTTACTATTGAAGCCAGTGGATAGAATTCGCCAAGTGCGCCTACGGTGTTATACATGCGTGACACTTTTCGGACGTTACATGTACGAGTACGTGATCCATTTGACGGTCACAGATTTAGTGTAAATATTTGACCCGTCAACATCACGTAACGTCTCTAGTTGACAGAGGTTTTAGAACGCTTCATTACATGGATTTGTCTTCTGCGGGTAGAAGGCTTAAAGCGAATTTCTCGGGCGTAATTTCCTTTGATTTCTCAATTGATGCTGTCGCAAACACAGTTTTTGGGAGTCACGAAACAAAAAAACTTCTCAAGACCTAGTTTCATGTTCTAATGGAAATAGATAGCAAATAAAAACACATTATCTTGAGAAATAAAGTTATAAATAACAGGGGTTCTCTGAAACAAATAGTGATAGAAGAGGTTTCAGTTCTGCTCAATATTGACATTTCATAGCCTACTTCCAAATCTGAGGGAACGCACTGAGGGAGCAAAATAAACATACATGTGTGATAATGCAAGGAAGAGAATAAATATACAAATAAAGAAAAAGGAGAAAACATAGGAACCCGTGTTGCAGCGTGCAGATATCTTTTGAGCCAAACCTACTCACCCTAAGCCCGATAGCACGCAAAGAAACTCGAAAGAGTGCTGTATATGAACTGGCTCGCACGTGCACGCAGGAAAAGCCATAACAATCAGCGAAAATAATAGCAAATGCAGATGATATTTGCAGTCAAAAGACAGGCAAATAAGATAACAGAAGGATTAAGAACTTTCCAGAAGTGTCTTCTTGAAAAAAAAAAAAGATACACAATTTTTACTTCTCATGAAAGGTCACGCAGTCACGCTACAAATACTATTTCTACGTGGAATTTCTTGATGGTGGAAAGTGGAAAAAACATTTTCCAGTCTTATTTCCTGGAAACATGGCGCAGCTAATGGATTTTGTGGGGCTATTCATACTTCCTATCAAATTAGGGGGGCAGAGTTTCCCCGTCATCCGCGGTCTGGAAAAGCCGAAGTTGTTACACACGGGAACAAGCACGCGACATGCGACTTTAAAATCTACTCTCCTGTCACAGTTTCCTTATTGTGAACTGTGCGATAATGATAAACAATAAAATTATAGCCTAATGAATGTTATGTTTTGTTCTGTACAAGAGCCCTATTTCCTGATTTTCGCATGTCTTCAAGTACTAAAGACAGAAGAGAGAAACGCTACGATTTTCCCATCGATTTTTCGCCTACATGCACCTCTCTAAACGTGAAATTTTCCATTCCTACAAAAAATCTCGAAAGTTTTTCACATTTTTTACCTTTCTTGATCAATCCTCTTGTATAAAGAGCTAAAAAATGTAGGTTTATTTGGTCAAGCGCCACCTAGAGCAAGAACTGCGTGACAGGTGTAGTTGAGAGAAACTTGTCACAGTCGCAGATTTTAAAAGGCATCCAAGACAAAAATACGGTAGTGCCCAAAGATCCCAAGAGGGAGTTACCCAATACATTCACATAATGGTTTCCCACATATCCCATGGTTTTTCCAAATGTACCAAGTAGTAAAAACATTTACAGGGCAAGGGTTGAAAGGATCATTGATGTTGCAGGGTCCACTGTTTTCTGGAAATTCAACAATTGGGACTCTGTTGGAGATGTTCTTTGTCAAGAGTCATGCTAATGGTACTTAAGAAAAAGGGAATGGGAGCCCAGATCCTATCAGAAACACAAAATAGAGTACTGGGAGGAGGATATATTCCAAAAGAGAAAAGAATGTACCCCCTGAAATTACTACTCCACCTCTATCTAATCTGCAGAGTGGTTAAAGTGCTGTTGCATCTCAAACTCACTCTGCTGTGCCTTTGAGCTCAATTGACTTTACAAAAATGACAGTTCCTCAGCTTAAAGAAGAATTAAAGGAAAGAGGAAGCAAAGGCATCCTTAGAAAACAAACATTAGCTTGTAAGATTATTGAAGAGCATTACTGACAAAGAAAACCAGTCAACCTCTATTTAAAAATAAATGACATTGTCATTAGATGCAGATTGTAAAAGTGGCATAGCATATAGCATTTGGCCAGCTAGTGGTTAATAGCTGTACCTGTTGTAATGATGGCCTGTTAATTAATACCCAGATAAGTGCAGATAAACTCAACAGGTTTATTTAATCTACACCAGCGCCATGTTACAGTACCATGATTCTTTTCGCACCGATAACTCTATATAAAAGTGATGAAATGTCTAAACACTACACCCGTCCCACTTTATAAGATAGTCAATCTGAGAAATCAAAATTATTCATTTTACTACAAAACTCAAACGTTCTTTAAATATCAGATCACAATTTCTCTTCTACTGTAAGCTTATTAAGCTCCTTGAGCTCCGGAAATATGACAGGAGTTTTATGTACTTTGTGATCCAGTGATCGCCTTGAAATTACTCGTTGGACTCTAACCCTTTAACTCCCAAGATCTCATTAGTAATTCTCCTTACTGTCTGCCATACAGTTCTTGAGATGTTAGTTTTGAGAATTTGGTATTGGATCAATTAATAATCTTCTAACTGATATTTTTCTTTATTCTCATCACTTGTGTGCTTTATATTGTATTGATATTGTAAGGAGAAATTCTGTCTTGGTCACTTATGGGAGTTAAAGGGTTAAAACATACTCCCCGACTGTTAGCTTTTCATCTCCTTTCCATCAGCTTTAAAAAGTCACTTGTGACTTGTGACAATTGCTTGAAATAACCACTTAGGGGCCCTTTTTCTCTGTTGCTCTGCCATTTAAGAGCTAGCAAAAATACATGCCCGTCTTGTTAACCACTGATAAAATCCATGCCTGTGATGGTGATCACTGACAACACATGCATCAGCAATATGAACTGCTGACTTATGAAATTGTTTGTCATGCCAATTGCTGGCAGGTGCCCAAAAATGAAAATTTTGATTTAAGTCAGCACATGTAGAAAGAAGCGCATCAACAACAAGTCCTTTAAAATAGCTTCATGCAACTGACACATAAAATCTTCTCCTGACCATTTTTTTTTTGAGTACTTGGTTATGAGGGTAGTCACATTGTTACACTGTGCGTGTTTGAATCCTAATGGGAACATTCAATTTCATGTTATTTTTTTGCTTCATCTCATTCTTGTGACAAAATGAAAACACCTATCTGTCTAATCTTGTATACATATCATTTGATTTGAGGAAAAAAGTGAGCACTAAATATATGGAAGGAATTTCAGCAGACTTTCAGCTGTGCCTCAATTTTTAACAGTGTGCTGGGCTGAACTAATTAGTCACAAGCAAAACTCACAACAATCAAACGCTTTCTTCAAATTAGAGCTTTAACATCAAGCTACTTCAAAAAGAAATACTTTTTTGTTTCTGCTGCTCTGTTTTTTTTACCATGGATCTCCTCTAACATGTAACAAGCTTACTCTTGTCATTGACGTGTACTTCCAAAATCTGCCATCATTTCAATAATTGCTATATGTGAATGACCCAACACCAAGTTTGGTTACAATCCACTGAATTTCGTGAAGGGGAAAATGGAAAACTTTGCCTAACCTAAAGAGAGTGTATTGGCAAAACTTTATATCTATACTGCATCTGCTTCCCTATTGTGTTCATTTCATGTATTTTTTTGGTAATCTTAAATAAGATAGACTTACATGTATCAACAATAAAATCAAGGCAACCCCATGTGTTCCTCATAATGGTTAACAAGCTGGGAAGCACTGCTCAGTCCCTCCTGGCAAATCCAGCAAGTAAATGATTCATCATAATCTGAAGAATATGACTGCTGTCCAGAGTGCAATTTTTCATGTCTTTGTAGTGTTCCCTTATGAGTAAACCACTTATCACAAGCTTTGCACTGGAATGGCTTTTCTCCAGTGTGGGATCTTTCATGTCTCTGCAGATCTTGTTTCCTAGTAAACCGCTTGTCACAAGTTTTGCACTGGTATGGTTTCTCTCCAGTGTGGGATCTTACATGCACTTGTAGATTTCCTTTACGAGTAAACCGCTTATTACATGTTTTGCATTGGTATGGCTTTTCTCCAGTGTGGGATCTTACATGCACTTGTAGATTTCCTTTACGAGTAAACCGCTGATTACATGTTTTGCATTGGTATGGCTTTTCTCCAGTGTGGGATCTTTCATGTCTTTGCAGATATTGTTTCCTAGTAAACCGCTTGTCACAGCTTTTGCACTGGTATGGCTTCTCTCCAGTGTGAGATCTTTCATGTACTTGTAGATCTCCTTTACGAGTAAACCACTTATTACATGTTTTGCACTGGTATGGCTTCTCTCCAGTGTGGGATCTTTCATGTACTGTTAGATGACCCTTTTGTGCAAACCACTTGTCACAAGTTTTGCAATGGTATGGCTTCTCTCCAGTGTGAGACCTAATATGAAGTTTAAGATTGCTTTTCTGAGTAAAGCACTTATCACAAGTTTTGCACTGGAAGGGCTTCTCTCCAGTGTGGGATCTTCCATGTCTTTGCAGATCTTGTTTCCTAGCAAACTGCTTGTCACAGGCTTTGCAATGGTATGGCTTCTCTCCAGTGTGAGACCTAATATGAAGTTTAAGACTGCTTTTCTGTGCAAAGCACTTATCACAAGTTTTGCACTGGAAGGGCTTCTCTCCAGTGTGGGATCTTCCATGTCTTTGCAGATCTTGTTTCCTAGCAAACCGCTTGTCACAGCTTTTGCACTGGTATGGCTTCTCTCCAGTGTGAGATCTTTCATGTACTTGTAGATCTCCTTTACGAGTAAACCACTTATTACATGTTTTGCACTGGTATGGCTTCTCTCCAGTGTGGGATCTTTCATGTACTGTTAGATGACCCTTTTGTGCAAACCACTTGTCACAAGTTTTGCAATGGTATGGCTTCTCTCCAGTGTGAGACCTAATATGAAGTTTAAGATTGCTTTTGCTTTTCTGAGTAAAGCACTTATCACAAGTTTTGCACTGGAAGGGCTTCTCTCCAGTGTGGGATCTTTCATGTCTTTGCAGATCTTGTTTCCTAGTAAACTGCTTGTCACAAGTTTTGCAATAGTATGGCTTCTCTCCAGCGTGAGACCTATTATGAGCTTGTAGATTTCTTTTCTGAGTAAACCACTTGTCACAAGTTTTACAATGGTATGGCTTATCTCCAGTGTGGAATCTTTCATGACTTTGCAGATCTTGTTTCCTTGTAAACCGCTTGTCACAAGTTTTGCAATGGTATGGCTTCTCTCCAGTGTGAGACCTACTATGAACCTGTAGACTTCTTTCCTGAGTAAACTGCTTGTTACAAGTTTTGCAATGGTATGGCTTCTCTTCAGTGTGAGACCTATTATGAGCTTGTAGATTTCTTTTCTGAATAAACCACTTGTCACAAGTTTTGCAATGGTATGGCTTCTCTCCAGTGTGGGATCTCTCGTGGACTTCTAGATCTCTTTTTTTATCAAAGCACTTGTCACAGGTTTTGCACTGGTATGGCTTTCCTCTAGTGTGTGATCTCTCATGTCTTTTTAGATTTCCTTTTCTCGCAAAACACTGGTCACAATTTTTGCACTGATATGGCTTTGCTCCAGTAGTGGATGTTTTTCTTTTGGCCATGGAAGCATAAATTAGAAACAGTCCTTGAAAGAAAAAGTGTTAGAAAATGTTAAAAGCAAAAAAAAAGAAAAAAAAAAGATTCACTAAACCAATTAGGCATATTGACAGGGTTTCAGAAGGAATGTATTAAGTTTGAATAAACAAAGAAATTGGATGGTGAGTTGGGTAAAAATGTTTCAAACAGTAATACTCTTCCAGGAAAGGAAGTTTTATGAATGACAATCGCCACTAATAACAGAATTCACAGACAGTGCAGTTGTTGGCCAAAGCCCTGAAAGAAAAACCTTCACACGAGTAAGGACATGCAAAGAGAAGTGCATTTCCAACAAGTCCCTTTACATAGCTTCACACAACCAGTTCACACAATCTACATGTTGTCCCTGTGATTTTAAACTTTAATCTATTGTTGTCATTGTGTGAACAATTTGTTCAATGAACTTGTCTAATTGGAAAAGTCACTCCACCTGTCACCATCAAGTGGAGCAACCCAAAGTAACAAAAGTAGACAACAGAATTTTCTAATGGACACTACAAAAGAGATTCCCAATAGACTTTAATAGAAAGAATCTGGTTAAAAGGTAAAAACAATGATAAAAATTAAAAAAAAGTTTAGTTTAACACTACATGTGTAGCACAATTTGTATAAAGTATGGAAAAGAATTCAAGATTGTATGATACTAGAAGGTAGTGTTGCAGAAGATTTGTCTCAGATGCAGAAAGCCAACTGCATCCCACATATTTACAAGTACCCTGTTCCATAAGAGAAAGATGATTCAAGAATATACTGATTATTTGACACTCAACCGATAATTGAATGGTAACAATAATATTAACAATATTAAATATAATAATGATAACAATAGGAACAGTTATGATAATTCATATCTGCTAGCTCAAAAAGCTCACTGTTCCTCTATCAGTCTATCCTCTAGGCTCAAATAATGATTAAACTATGCTCCTTTTGATTTTGCTTATTGATCAAAATTCATTTTCTCATTTCACCACAATTTGTCTTTGTTTAGCACAACAAGACATTCCCCATTGTAGGATATTCCACCATCTCACCCTTCCACTGGTCACATGTTAAACTCAAGGTATCTTATTTCACACCTCGCTCCCTTCTCAAATTTGGCAGCTCATTTGGTTATAAGTTGTTGATTGAAATGGTAAAATGCCCCCTCTTCAAATAAATAAAATTAGTCTTTAGAGCTTGTATGACAAACAGATCACCTATCTAGATATTTATGCAATGAAAAGTCTTGTTGTCAGTTACGTGCCAGAGACACCAGTGTAAAACTATTTTGAGAGATGTTATCATCTGTTGTAGTGTCACCGCAAGGACTAAAAAAAAAACTTTATTTTCCAATCTACCGGGCATAATTCCCTAATTCAAGCATTAAAAGGCTTATTCTTGAGACAAAAAAATTCCTCTATGTTCTCAATGACACTTTTTAAGATATTTTTATAAGGAAAAGCTTTGTTTTTTCAAGCACCATACTGAGATAAATTTATGTTTATCGTCTTCTTTTGTGCTCTGAAATAAACTATCATTAGCACCAGGAAACATCGGGTCAAATGTGGGTCAAGATACAAATTCCATTGTTACCATTAATCACTCACTGACTCATTTCAACGACATACATGGCTTCGCCTCCTATATTAGGTAATAGCCATAAAAATAGAAAAATTACTTTCTTTCATCAACACTCCTACATCAAATCCACTCAATGAGTATAAACGTTTCCTAACTGTATAATTGCACCTGTCTTTAAACTTCAGGTTTTTGGTCTTTCACTTGAGGAAAAAATCCTGACTTTTCAGGGTTCAAAATAATTTTTCAGCTTTTAGCGTGAATTTGTAGGCTTTTATCAAGGCTCATGTTTTTTCCTGGCTGTTATTAGTAAATGAGCAGTCAACGTCTTCAACACTCAACATGATTTCTTAATATTATAGAAAGGATTACCTTAAATTGCTTAAAATAATTTCAGCATCAGAATCTTTATTTGATCAACATGTTTTGTGGCGGCAATTCCTTTTCTAAGAAAATGTAGCGAACGGCTAAATTTTTCGGTGTTTGTTCAAGCGTGAAATATACAACTTCGTCGAGACAAATTGTCGCGCTTCTCCATGGGAAATTCGTACTGTCCAGTACCGACTTTAATTTGAACGCGTCAGAAGGCTTTGCAAACGACATTGAACAGGATTTGGCAGAAAATAAATCTTGATTAAAGGTAGTATGTAAGTGCAGAAACATAAACACGGTAATGTGAGGGTGTGCACCCAAACTTGCATGTTTCACGCTTGAAAAAATACGTAGAAAACTGAAGACTGTAAACAAAAATACTCCCTGTAGCACGCTTCAAATTTCGAAACTTTATACTCGTTTACGTTTCCGAAAACCTTTTAAAACATTTCTTGGCTGCTTAATTGCCTAATATGAAATCTTTACCATAGCATGACGGCGACTTTTACTTCAGTTGGACGATCAGTAAGCGTAATATTTTGTTATGAAATTCTAGTTCTTCGGTGAAAAATCGCTGATAAGTGTCCTAAAAGTTGCGGCTGCCGCCGACAGCCGGCTGTTATTTTGAACCTTGTTTTCATCAAAATACATTCATCTGTTTTATTCCAAATTATCTGTTGCCTAAATAACTTATTAAGTGTACATTTCTTTAGTAAGGAAACTCTCTCATATGCTTTTGGGTGACAAAGGGACAGCCATCTCAAAAGGAGAAGGATTTGCTAACTATTCGTCCATCCAAACTTTCCATGGTGCATTCACGAAAAAAGATAGGTGTGTGCTCTTCACAGTTCACTTGGTAGTACCTGGGAGGCACAGGTTTGAATGAAGTCAAAACCTACATTTTTTTTGGCCTTCCTTTTCTGCAATTGCGTAAATTGCAGTTTACCTGTGAGCATCACTGCTGAAACATTGGTTTCATTGAGATATCCATTTGGTTCAAGATATGCTAAATGGCAGTGGAAACACTTAAACAGTTGAAAGTAAATTTAAAATGAAAACAAACTACTTCAGTTCTTTTAATTTATAGCGACAACTCCATCGCATTTGAAAAAGAAACCCAGATGAATGAAACTCTTGAACCTGGGCCACTGAATACAACCAAGGTTCCTCAGGGTACTCTACCAGCATGTACTGCAAGCATAACTATGAAATTGTTAATGGTAGCAACACCATCGAACCATTTCATAACAACAAAAGAAAAACCTCTGCGATTTGTTTAGAAGACTGGAAAAATGTATTCAATTTTACTGAGTACCGGTAGATATGAATCAACAAGAGATAATAAATGAAGCCAGCTCCATTGCAAGCTCAGTTTCACACAGGATCACAGTCACCGAAACGAGAAATTAAGTGACAACTTTTTGATAAACAGACGATGAAACATGTACTTTCTACCTAAACCCAGACACGCACTCATAGTTAGTCTCCACACAAAACCTGTTTACTCTTGACTAATGCCTTATCTTGGTTAAGTAAAGTAAAGCCTCCTGACTTAATTCATAGCTCAGCTGTCAAAAAAATTCAACTTGAAAACTATGGCCCTCGAAATACAAAATAAGGCAGTTGGAAAATGAATTCCTTATTCAATATTAGACGCTTTTGGTGGGTAGTAACGCTAAGTAATTTTACGAGCGTTGTTGGCACAACTCGTAAAATTACTGAGTGTTTCTTCACACCAAAACGTCTAATATTTAGGTATATACCCAGCCACTACTGCCCTCGTGGGCAATAAGCTAAATTTAACATTCTACTCACACCTTACAAGTTTATGTTTCCAAATTCGCCTCAAGACTACAAAGTCACCTCAATGCCGCCTCACCAACAGGTTCCTCTGTGTTGCTCATTTGAACAGGGAAGAAAGGACACTGGGAACGAGATTGAGCATTTGGACAAGGACCTTTCTTGCGCATTATACCTTAACGTCGATCTTTGCCCGTATCATTTTATTTTTTAAGAACAGTTTTAGTTTTCAAAATTCCCGCGAAATACCCTGTTCTCGCCATGTCCGCGAGAGTATCACAATCAGAAGTTTGAGTGTCTTTACTGAATGAACGTTCCACGTCATCGCGATTCAATGAGAGAAAAATTTGTGACACTAATTTATTTTGTCATTGTTCAATGCCCGAGTGTTGGGATGACATGGTACAGTGCGAGTTGTGCGAGGAATGGTTACACATGAGCTGCGAGGGATCTAAGACCATTTAAGACTGTCCCGGAGGGCGAGTGGCTCTGCATTGTCTGCAGATCGCTAGACTCTAGACGTCTTCGTAATTGTTAAGGTGTTATTTCGGATCCCTCAGCAATTAATAATCTTATAAAACCAGAACCTCGTCAACGACACGATTAATTAATAACCTAAGCAGGCAGTGGTTTAACGACTCTTACATCAGCAAAATAAAAAATAAAAAGTAGGACGTTTATGTCATTGTGCTATACTCCGGATTAAAGAAAATGAAAACCTAAAAGATTTTGTATGAGGCCCAGTCTCAACTTGGCGTATAAATAGTGAAACAGCATAGCTTCAAAATAGAATCATGGATCACGAAATAAACAATGATACAACATTTTCTGTTTCGAGCTCGATGAGCTCATATTCAGCTTCTTCAATACTGCTGGTGTTACCAAAAGTACCGTTTTGTTACACACTTGTGGGTCAAATCACATTTTCACAGGAGTTAAGGTGAGGACAGAATAAGTCAATAAGGACCCATTGCAGTGAATGAGATAAACGGGTATTGACTATAGATCCAAATAGAAATAATTTGAGACTTGAGACAAAAGAATGAAAGAAATATCGACCTTATTTACTTGTCACGAACGCAGGATCGAATCTTAGACCATCGGATTTTACGATCTGAAGTTCTCACATATAGCTATAGATTTCTTCTTCATGAGCCATGACATACAGTGGTTAAATATAGGATCATCCTGCATACTGCTTAGATCATCGATGTCGAAAGTTTCATGTCTTAAAATACATAACGATAGAAAGGAAATTTCAAGCTCTTTCGTGACAAGGAAAAAAATCGTTTTTAACCGACTACCGAAGAAAAAAAACGCTATCCGTCAGATCAGGTTAAACGACACGTTAAATAACAATGCTGACATGAAGATAAGCATACCAGACCTTGAGGTAGCTTATTTATCTTCCGATGAGGGATTTACGAAGCTACGACATTTCTGATTCCAGTATCAAGTGCATCACTTGTCTGTATGAACTATTATACATTTATTTATGGTCTCGCTTACTGCACCCAAACTCAGCAGACAATTCTGGAGCTCAAAGAGACAAAAAGCTAAGGTCTTGGATTTCTCCTCCAACTTTAAGACGACTGTTTCAGTAACAGTTTATTCATAAAATTCCTGCAAGATACCCTGAGGGTTTCTGTACACAAAGATGCATGGAGTACATAGATTTAACACATTTTGAATATCTTTCTCGGTTATTTCTCTAAGAAGAGTACTTATGGTATTCGTTTTAATTCTTTCCAAGACGCGAAACGATTTAAATATGCTTTTCTCTAGATACAACGAGAAGTCAAGTATTTTTCTTGGAAAAGAGCTTATTGGAGTTGAATTTATTGCAAGTATTCTTGAGGTGAGGAAAGAAATACGTAGCATATTATAATCGAAAGACGAGAAAATTGGGAAAAAGAAGGATACATAAAGAATACATCTTATTGATGTGATTTCTTTAGCTTTGTATCTCCCTCTAATGATTTCGCTGGATTATAACAAGTAATAATCATAAAAAGAATTGAAAAAACAAACAAATGTCGGGAATGAGACTAAAGAATCTGCTATGTTCCGAAACTTCACGTTTTATTTTATAAAATCAACTTAATCTCCCGCTCTCTCTCACCGTTCTCTGTCTTTCGCTCTGGTCTCTCTCATTTTAAATATATAATATGATCCTATTGTTCAATCATCTGTCACTTATCGCAAAAAATCAACCGGAAATCAATTAACGCTGAATAATCTCTCACACACTCCCCTGTTTTTCTCAACGGAGAAAAACACTAGAATGGCGCGCTCGATAAAATTTGAAATTCAATGAACGAAACAGAAAGTTAGTCCAGTATATCAGTTCAGTGTTCCTAAATATCTCTAATCGGCATCAATGTTCGCATCTTGAATGCGATAACGAGCGGCTACCGCTGCATCCCTCCTGGGCCTGAATGTCGGGGCTAAGGGGTTGAGCTGCAGAGGAGCCTGTACATTCTCCCGATCGCAGGACAGCTCCAGTGGGTAAAGGTGTTGTACCGCCCGTTCAAGTGTTCCTTTCCCCGCTCGAAGTTTGGCAGCTCGAACGATTCCGTCTCGTCCCGGAATCAGATCTTCCACGATTCCAATTTTCCATTTATTGCGATTTCGTTCCTCGTCCTTGATGATGACTACCTCTCCTTTGGCCAAGGGCGTGGTTGGACCCTTGTGTTTCATCCGGTGTCGTTCTCTCAACCCTCGTAAATATTCGGTAGTCCACCTGGTCCACAAAGCCTGCTTGCACCTTCGCAAATATTTAGCTCTTCTACGCAGATCAAATTCTCTTAGATGGTGTGGTTCCAGTTCTGGTAGCTGGTTTGATCGAAGAAATAGCAGTGAGTTAGGGGTAAGCACGGGTAACTGTATGTCGTCTTCGACGTAACATAAAGGGCGATTATTCAAAGCAATCTCCACATCCAGTACCACTTCACACAGCTCTGTCCAGGTCAACATTCCGCATCCGATAGTCTTGTTTAAAGCTGTTTTTACCAGTGCGATGAGGCGCTCGAACTGTCCTCCCCACCAAGCGGCGCGGCTGAGGTTGAATTGCCACTTGATGTTCTCATGTGCTAAGTAATCTTGTGTCTTCTCGTCACGCATAACTTGTTTGAGCCACTTCTCGGCGCCAACAAAGGTTTTGCCATTGTCGGAATATATCTTCTTCGGACGCCCACGGCGCGCGATGAGCCGTTTTAGACTTCTTAGGAATTCACTGGTTGCCAGGTTTGGTAGTACTTCCAGGAATAATCCTCGGGTAAGACTGCACGCGTACAATGCAAGATAGGCCTTTCCTTCTGTTTTGGCTCTGATACGGTACTTGATGGGCCCTGCAAAATCGACTCCGATAACCTCAAATGGGGTGCTCCCCTCTGTGCGGTCAGTGGGTAGGAGTCCGGGAGGCGGCGTTGCCAGTGCCATGGCCTGAAAACGCTTGCAGCCTGAACACGCTCTGAGAACTTGTTTTACGAGTGCCCTTAAACGCGGTACCCAGTATAGCTCTCGCACTTTGGTCATGGTAAGGGCCACTCCTCCGTGCAGTGTGTCGACATGTGATCGGTGAACTAACTTGCGAGTGAAGGGCGAGGAGTCTGGCAGAAAGATGGGGTAATGGCCTTGAATTCTTCCCCTACACTCTAATATTCCCTCTTGGTTTCCTTGCACATTCAACTGTAAACGGTCTTCTTCAAATTTCTGGCTCGACTTTGCTTGTTGTTGAGATCGCTTGATCCAGAACGTTGTCTGTTTCTGTATTTCTTCAGTTGTAAGGGGACCAACGATTCTCTGTTTACGGACGGTTCTTATGTTGTGGAGGAATCTCCAGATCCAAGCACCCACTCGCAACACACGCCACAGCTCGTACTTCTCCAGCAGCGCATCGAAGGCGTCGTTGTTCTCTGTTTTCTCTACTGCTAGAGCAAACAACTCGCGAGTTTGTTTCACTTCTTCCGCTTTTGATTCTTGAGTAGATGTCGTTACAAGGTCTGGCGGCCAGTCCTGCGGTTTTGCTAACCAGCTTGGTCCCTGCCACCAAAGAGCTGTCAATCTACTAACATCTCCTCCCCGACTCCCCACGTCCGCAGGATTCTCCTCTGTTGGTACATGCCTCCAGTTTATTTCTTTTTCTTGGATCTTCCTCACTCGATTTCCCACGAACTGTTTGTATTCGCCATTACCACGGATCCAATGCAGTGCGACTGTGCTATCCAGCCAACCATAGACACTTCTTACGGGAAAACCCTTCAGGACTTCTTTCACATTTTGTACTAGGTTCGCAGCCATATGTCCAGCCACTAGTTCTAATCGGGGAATCGTGAGTCCTTTCTTCGCGAGCCGCGACTTCGCCGTCACGAGGCCTCGATTCGTGCCTGATGGTTGCTCCACCACTGCATAAACCGCGGCTGCAACTCCTTTCCCGCTTGCGTCCCCGAATGTGTGTAAGTCGATTGATAATATCTTCCCTAAATGCTTGACGACATTTCTTGGCGCGTTCACGTGCTCTGGAAGTCCTTGCTCCCATTTCTTCCATTTGGCTTGTAAGTCACTTGGTAGGGGCCTATCCCACGCGATCTTCGTGTCGCAGGCATCTCTGTAGAGCATTTTTCCAGAGAGGGTCACGGGTGAAGCCAGACCGAGTGGATCGTAGATTTTTGCGACTTTTCCAAGAATACCTCTTTTTGTCGGCTCAGCGGTTGAAATCGGGAAGCTGACTTGAATTTCGTCCTTTTCTTTGTCCCAGGGGACTCCTAGCAGTTTTGATTCGCCCTTTCTGGTTCCCAGTTGTTGTTTGGCGTAACTCTGACTTTCTTCATCTACAGTCGCAGTTTCAACTTCTAGTTCCCGATCGTTGGAATGCCACTTGTGCAGCTTGAAAGTCGCCTCACCAAAGATGGTCGTGGCTGTCATCTTGATTTCTAACGCTTGTTCTGTTGTCTCCCCACCACTGATTAAATCATCCACGTACATACTGCGCTCTATCTCCTCTACTAATTCCGGGTTCACCATTTTGTATCGCTGTAGATGTTCTTTGATAACTGCGGCCAAGAGGAATGGAGACGGTGCCAAACCAAAGAGTACTCGAGTGAATCGCAAGGTTTCTACTTGTTTGCTTGCCAGATCCTTTATCCAATGAAAGCGTAAGGCATCTCGGTCTTCTCTTCGGACGCGAATTTGCAAAAATGCTTGTTTTAAGTCGCCAGCTATTGCCACGGGATAGAACCTATTTCGTACCAGCACGTTCCAAAGCTGGTTCTGTAGTGGAGGGCCGATTTCGAGGCACTCGTTGAGTGAGGGGACACTTGCATTAGCTCTTGCAGAAGCATCATAAACAATGCGTATCTTTGTAGATTCTGCATTCTCGCGCACGACTGCTTTATGAGGAATGTAGAACTCTTTTCCGTCCTTGACCACCTCGTCAGCGTGTTCTACGATCCCTTGGCTCAGTTGAGTCTGGATAATGTCGTTGTACCTCTCCAGCTCGCCTTGTATCTCTAACTTCCGCACGAGATTTTTGAGACGTTTTAAACTTCCAGTGTGATTGTTCGGTAGGGGGGGGTGATTTCCTTTCCAGGGCAAGTTCGTCTCGTACCAGCCTTCTGAACTCCTAGTTAGTTGCTCTTTGAATTCTTCGTAAACGGTTTCCTGGTCTCCACTTGGATTGTCCTTCAACCCCAAGACGTCTAACTTGCACAATTCTTCGTAATCAATTGCGGAGGTCTGCGTTAACAACATGTTGCTGAGATCCAACTCTGTTCCAGGTGACAAGATCGTCCAGCCGAACTTCGTGTATTCTGCTACTGGTTCTCCCGAGCGCCCAACTCTTGGTCTTGCCCCTGTTTTGATCTTAGCGTACTCGTTTGTTCCAAGGATCAGATGAACAGGCAACATCGCTTTCTCGTCGTTATCATTTGTGGTTACGCCCTTCAAGTGAGAAAACTGAGCTACGATTTCTGCGCATTTTGGGTTTTCCAATGTCAACAACTCATTGCGGTCGACTTTGTTTACTTCGGCTTCTAAGGTGAATTTACCATCAACGCTTCGAATTTGTAGGCCATAGATGTCTATCGCTTTGTTTGAAGTACCAAACATCATTTCAATGCGCTTGAATTGTTGACGGATAGGGCGCAAATGTAAACAGTTCAGAAGCGTTGATGAAGCGTAGGAACTTCCGGCTCCTGTATCCAACAATGCCCGGCATTTAACACCGTTCACGTCAACTGTTACCATAGGGTACACCACTCCTTTCCTTTCTGCGCTCGTTGTGGTCATCAGCTGGTCTCGCGATGTATGTTTGTCACAGATCGATGTATGATGTCTTCGACTGCAGATCTGGCAGCCGGAACGGCATTTGCACTCCGAAGCACGGTGTCGACTTCCTGTGCAGTTAAAACAAAGCTGTTTCAGTCCTAATTGCTTCCTGCGGTCTCCAACTGTCACAAACTTGTCGCAATTCACAGCTCTGTGGTCAGTTGCGTCACAGTAGACGCAACCTCTTTGTGTTGGCGTAGTTTCGTTTGCGTGAAATGTTTTCTCGCGATCGCGGAATTTAGCACCTTGCTTCCCCGCATTATCCGCGCCGCTCCCAATGGGGTTGATTTCCTTCCAACTTTTCAAAGCTTTTATCAACTGTGGGAAGTCCCAGTCCTGCCAGTCCATTTGTCCTCTCACTAGATCTGCTTTTACACCCTTTAGTTTGTCGAGCACACTCCTTACATTTCCAGTGACGTCTTTCAATTTGCCCAGTGTCTCCAAAGATTGCACATTGTACACGAGCTTCTTGTAAAATTCGTGGATAGGCGCAGGTTGTGTTCCTGTAATGACAGGCAAATTCGTGATGTTCTGGACGTACGCATTCACGATCTCGCTCGTTTTCCCATATTCGCCGATGAGGATATTCTTTCCTCTGTTGTGAAAGGCAGTCCGTCTATCTCCGCTCGAACTTTGGATCTACCAGCTCTTTTAGGTATGCAAACTTGGTCACAGATGCAAGGTTTGCTTTATCAATTTCAGCTTGAAATTTGTTCCAGAACGGCAGCCATGCTTCATACGTCCCATTAAACTTTGTGATCTGTAGTTTCGGTAGCTTTGTTGTCCTTTGTTCAGTCTGATTAACCTTCTCAACAGGTTGCTGTTTTGCCTTGGTCTCTTCCAGTTGGCGTTCGAATTCTAGCTTCATCTGATTCTCCATTTGCTCTCTTTCGAATTTAAGCTCCTCTTCACGAGCACGGGCTTTCCTTTCTTCTTCGTCCTTGTGCTTTCGATGTTCGATCTCTCCATTCGTCTCCACGAGCCATTTTTCTAGTCGCGAAACTTCTTCGTCAGCTTCGGCGATCGGTTCTTCAATGCTACTGCTCCAACTTCCAACGTCTTCTGCACTTTTCCCGGCCTTGAACATGGTCTGTTCAACCTTTAGTTTAAGCGCGTCTACTTCTTTTACTAATGCTTGTAGGTTGTCGCGATGTCGCGCGACCGCTCCTAGGTTTCCCTTTTCCACAATGCCACGTGTTTTTCCATTAGTGTACAGCAACATCTGCAATTTAGCCTCTGCTTCTTTGGTTAGTTCCTCCATGCTTCGCGCGTCCCGTCGGAGGTGCCACTGTGTCGGAAATGAGACTAAAGAATCTGCTATGTTCCGAAACTTCACGTTTTATTTTATAAAATCAACTTAATCTCCCGCTCTCTCTCACCGTTCTCTGTCTTTCGCTCTGGTCTCTCTCATTTTAAATATATAATATGATCATCTGTCACTTATCGCAAAAATCAACTGGAAATCAATCAACGCTGAATAATCTCTCACACAAACAAAAAAACAAGCACAATAATTTTCTTAAAGAAGAACAGCAATTTTGATCACGAAACTGGGCATTGGAGGAGGTTAAATCTTTCAAACTCATGAATATGTTACCTTCATTTTTTCATCGAAATTGTTGTAAAGCAAAATATTATTTCTGATATTTTCAGGCATGTAGAATTGACTAATGATATCATTTGGAGAATAGGGGGATTCAGAGGATGACAGTTTAACAGGTACAAATCAATCTTCGTTCTGCAACTGATTAAGAGCTGTTTAGAGCTCATTTTATCTAAAAATAAAGGTCGTAATCTTAATTTTCGTGCAGCTAACAACAGCTGAGTTTAATTTCAGTCGAATTCAAATTTTACACATGCACCTTGTAGAGGAACAGGGTCGATAAACGAGTTTCTTTACGCAATAGGCTCGCGGGATGTTGGTAGAATTCGTGACGGTAACGCAAACCCTCGTAGCTGTTTCGGTTTCGAATAGGTTTCGCGAATTCTCCCAGCCCCACACGCGATGAAATGAAGGAATGATTGAAAGAGTCTTTTATTGCATTATTTTTGATCGATGCTTATCCATACCCACCAGGTACAACTAGGTTGTTTATTGCAACTCACGCATTTTGTTAAGGAACAGCCTTGAGCGACGTTTCAACAGATAAGACTACGAAAACAAACAAACAAACAATTGAAAAAACAAATATGACACAACCCGCGGAACTTGACTGGAACTGTCACGCAATCACAATACCGTGACGGAGGAAACTTTGAGATTCTCATTCTTTCTCTATGATTAAGTATACAACATTTTCTTTAGGCTATTTTCATCTGCGTCTCCTCTTTTTGATTTTTAACAATGTAGCGCAGTACAATCGATTCAATTTTATTTCTAGCTATGGCAGAAAGCAACCTCCCAACAACGGGAGAAGAACTGGAGGTGAAAAATGAGTTTCCAGCTACAGGTGAGAAAAAGCAACAGGGAAAGACTTCGTAATGGTGATTTTGTACTGTTTGGTAATTAAGTATACTTTAATTCTGGTGCTCAATTTTTTGGACCACTTCGACTTGAATGTTTTGAGGAATCCACTAAATACGCCAGTATTAGAACGCTTGTTGTAATTGCAGACGGTTGTGATCACTAACAAAGTTGAAATATCTTCTTGGTAATTTCAGCGACAGAGAAAAGTCAAGTTACGTCAAGTGACGCTGAACTGGATGTAGACAATGACCCTTTAAGAGGTAAGAACACTAGGTGAAACAAGATTTTTGAAAGACGCCCCGGTGAAGTTTTTTTGTCACATTTACATCAAAATTTCTGTGGATAAGTTTTTGAAACAGCAAAAGATTTTTTTTTTAATTTTAAACTTTATTGCCATAAATATTAAATAAACAAAGGGAAAACCAATTTATTGCTCGATCCGATCGAGCAGAATGCGTAGACATCATTAATTTTTTCATTAGCAATAAAGCGGCAAATTTGAACGCGACTTCGCTTTGAAGAGCCCTAAATTAAAGAAGAATGAGCCAAAATTGGCCTACAAAGCTTCGTAAAACTCGGATTTCTGAGTTTTTAGCAGTGCTTATCTATAAATCAACACACAATGTTTTGGAGATTAAAGATATATCTACAATTTGCACCTAAAATAAATGATATTTGTGCAGTAAAAAGTATTTTCCTTTTGCACTTGGAAATATTGTAAATTTGGTCATTTATAGTATGAAAGTCATTTTCGGTAAGAGAGAGCTGTTGGTACCCTTAACCTGTCAAGGTCCAGTATTGAAACATTTGCAAATGAGTAACTTCTTTTAGGCCGCCGAAAGGAAAGTATTTACGCGTACACCTTTTTGTCCCTTATTGTTTAATACTTGTTCGGAGGAGATTCTCATTCTTTCTCTATGATTAAGTATACAACGTCTTCTTTAAGTTACTTTCATCTAAGTCTCCAATTTTTTGCCCCTACGAGCATGTTCTCAATAGACAATTACATGTATGTAATAAACCAAAAAGAAAAAAAGAAAAAAGCATGTTTTTCCGACGCACTTGTCTGAAGGATGGGCAAACGACGAACCCTTGTCACTCTTAGCGCGACGTTTCTTTTGTTATCCGAACATTCACAAGTTTTAACCTTTTTCAGTCCTGGCTTTGCTTTGCTTTGCTTTATACATTTTTTTCTCAATAACTCATGGGGTTTTATATTCCAATTTGACATTTTGGAAAACGTAACCCAGGTGTAAAAGGAATTTTGGAAAGTCTTTCGACCTCAATGTAGACCAAACAAACTTGATCTGGTTATAGCCAAGCTACAGCTAAAACTCTTGATAGCTTGCATATTTTAAAGCAAACAAAATACACAGACAAAGTCTACTGAAGTGTGATTGTAAACGAAGTTGAGTTTAAATAGGATCTCCCGGTGAAATTTGGGTTACTTTTTTTAAACCAGGTGTAAAAGGGTTTTTGGAGAGTCTCTTGACCCAGATGTAAACCGAGAAACTTGAACTGGTAATAGTCAATGCACAGCCCAGACTCCCAACACCTTAAACATTTTACTTAAACAAAATGTACAAATACTAAACTTTTCTGATTTTTTTTTTCATAGCTCTAAGCTCCTTTAACCTAACAGTTCGTTTGGAAGTAAAAAGTTGGCATCATTCGCCAAGGGTCGTGTAACTCATTACTAAATCATTAACACTAACATGGTGTGTTTTCAGGGATTGCGAAAGTATGTCTCGAGGAAGGTAACAAAGAATACACACGAGGAGAAGCTAATAACGCGATAAACTCCTACACGGAAGGACTCCAAGTCAACTGCAAAGATAAACGACTGAACGCCAAGCTTTACAGCAACAGGGCAACAGCTAATTTCCGTTTGGGTAACAATTTCATTTCTAAATATATAAATCTCCCATGCAGCGTTACAAGATAACAGAATACACAATCTGCATCAACTGAGAAATTTCTGAGAAAATTATCGTTATTAGACTGCAATTTAAGCAATTGTAATTTTTCACGCTTCTTTGCTCTAATTTCTTTGGATGACCACATTTTTAAACCTCATTTCCTGAATCTCACAGCAAACTACGTGGAATGTCTGGATGATGCAACAGTTGCAGTTCAATTGGAACCCACTTTAATCAAAGCTATTAAGAAAGGTGGGTTTTTCAGACATAAGCCATCAACATTTTATTCTCTGATTTCGTCAAAGAGGATTGTGTGGTTTGTGGCAGTTGACTGGACCCCAAGTGTCAATCGTATATGGTGTGTCAATGTCTGTTATGTGGGTAAAAAGCATAAGAAAGTGTCAATAAGCTCTCAAATACCGCTGCCTGGTTAGTTCACGTTGCAGAGCGCCGGAGGTCGAGGGCTCAAGCGCTAGACCAGAACAACACTCAGAGTCGTAAAATATCTGAGGAGAATGTGCTGCCACCTAAGCTGTGACATCTGCAAATGGTTTGATATTCTTGTGTCGGATACGGACGGAAAACCGTTACCCCCGTCGAGTCCTGCATCTTCTCTGTAACTCTTAGTAGGGGACGTTAAAAAACCCGGCCAGGAGGCACCTGAAAAATTCTCTTACAAAAGTTGTAAACTGTTCAACGCAGTCTGCCCGAAAACTTCCCCGAAAAGTGCTGAAAAGCGCATAACAACACATTAAAGTGAAGAATACGCCAGATAAATTCATCGTTATCATCATCAATTAAAGCTTAATTGGTAGCCACTTTGTATTACCTCCTTATTCTTCATTTTCAGTTCTTCCACAAGTTCAAATTTCCTTCATTATTACAATTTTTGTTCCCAGCTAAATGACAAATTACGGTCCATTTTATCAATACGTTTATACCTTAACAGTGATAAATTACCTCACACCACCAATTATTCTCTCCTTTTCAGGAGCCAGAGCTTGTGTCGAACTTTGCTGGTATAAAGAAGCAAGGAGCTGGTTGTATATGGGATTGGCTGTATCCTTTAACGAATGTTTGAAACGTGATACGAGATGCAATGCGAATAATATTGCAAGAAAAATCAATAAGTTCCAGGAAGATTCTTCTGCACATAATGCAAGCGATGTTCTCTTATACTGCACTGAGCAGTTTAAAGAAGCTAAAATGTTATCAAAGAGTTCTTTCGATTATTCCACAAAACTTTACTCAAAGAGGAGGCCATACTAATTAATTCCCAGAGTTTGAGCTGAATACCCCTCATTTTTGTCTTCAGACAAGCATCACCATGACGAACGAGCCTAAACCAATAAATGCGCTTCAGAGATAATTAAACTCTCCAATGACTTGAAAT